ATCATGTACCAATGTATTCCAATGTGAAATAAGAAACAGGTTACTATGCTTTGCCTTCTAAACAGCTTAATAACATTTGAGTTTACAGAGAATATTTTAATATATTTTCTATTGCTGTGGACCCTTTAACACATATCATCATTTCTGTTTCTTTATTGCTTCTTCATTATTCCAGCCTCTCATGGAGCCTACGTAAAATTACTTCATACTCCAGCTTTTTGAGTGAGAAGTTTATCAAATACTTCCGAGCAGGAAGAACGAAATTCTACCATATTTCTTGTCTATCTTTGCCTGAATTTCAAATCTCACTTGCTCCATTTATGCTCGACTTGCATTTTAACTTAATGCCACCGTACTTAGTTGATCTCTGTTCTTTTCACAGAGTATATTAATGTGGCATGTTTTCATGCATAAGTGGCAATTTAAATGTTTGATAGAGTTTAAGAAGACATTTTTGAAAAAGGAAACATGATTTTACCAAGACATTGGGCCACATTTCAACTTTTTTGTGAAGGTGAGGGGCATTTCGGCGTAAGGAACCGACCTCTCTTGTGCTCGCTTCCATTGTTACGCAATACCCGATCGGTCGTAGTCATACCTTAACATATTTCGAGACTGATCACATGAATTTAGTCATTTCGTGTCGTCCTCTCTCTTAGGCTGTTTCTTTGGTGATTTGAACTCTATTGTTGCCTGACCAAATTGACATTGTCGGGCTGACGAAATAAACTCCTGGTTTCTAGTTGGAGTTGGTCAGGCTTTTGCGTAAACGACGAGGACAATGTAGGGCCAGAGTTTTAGAAAAGTCGTGCTTCAACCATCCGAATCGGAACTTATCGGCTGAGGAGGGTTGAGAATACGCGTTGTCAGGCCGGATTGCCCGAAATTTCGATCTACAGGCCTCCCCTACGAGGGTTCAGTGGGTACCAATCGTCCTGTGGCTAAGCCCAGCATGGGAGAAGAGACAGTCCTAAAGTGGGTGTGAATGGCAAAGCATTAGATTGTCTCGATTTGGCCTCAGTTGACCATTGTAGTTACCAGGGCAACAGCCACAGTGACGGAGACCAGATTAGTTTTATCTCTCTTCCCACATGTGGCAGAGATTAGGGTTAGTCCAAGTGACGTCTGGAACCAGCCTTTGTTGGCAGGCCTGGCAACAGGCCGGCTGAAACCGAGTGGCAGATGCGGCAGATAGAAAGAGGAATTTGCAAGGATTGCGGCCGAATTTCATCCATTACTGCTGTTGCCAGTCGCGG